GAAAGAAAGAAAGAAAGAAAGAAAGAAAGAAAGAAAGAAAGAAAGAAAGCAAATTCTAAATTAATTTTTGTGGGATTTGTTGACCACAAAATTGTCTGCTTCACATTTCACTGCTTGTTACAAAAGATAAAGTAAAAGGCAGACATCATTGTCAGACTTGGTGGCAGTAAGCTGGACAAACAGGATGTTGAACAGAGGTGTCTTTTTATTCCACCTCAGTTTATCACTTTTCTTCTAAACCTGCAGACTCAGTCGGTTTGAGTCACCAGGTTTTGTGACATTGCACATTTCTTCTAATGAACCAGTTTACTGAAACACTAATGCTTAGTCAGTAAGCATGATGGTGAAGATGTTAAGCAGCAAGGAGAAAAGAAGGCTATTAACTTTTTTAAGTCATTTTTTTTAAATGGCACAAGTAAGCTACAGTTTCCTCATTTGATGTTGTTTTGTGGGGAACTTTCTGCTAAAGCAGTAAATTTAATGTTGTGGATTTTCTGTGGACTCCAAAAAAACATCTAAAACACTTGACCGCTTGTGTTGATGTACTTTTTTTTCACAAAAAATTTGGAATAATTACATTTTATCAACATCAACTTACCTTTAAAGCCTTTTAAAAGGGGCTGGACTAACAAGGACTCTGCCTTTTTTCAGGTCTAGTAGGAGTGACCCAGCTTTACAAAAAACACACATTTGAAGCTCCTGTGTTTGTCTGTGAGCTGCACCTTCACACACACACACATACACACACACACACACACATACACACACACCAGCCACTGGGTTCTGCACCGAGGACACCCCAGTGTCTGAGTGAGAGAGACGGTGACAGACCAAGTTTTCTGCCCTGGATTTCCAAACGGTAACTGTTTTCCAGGCCTGAGCTTCTCGTCTAAGCAGGACAGGACGATGACAGACGCGCGCACCAACATGCGGCTGAAGCTGCCGGCCACCTGCTTCATCCTGGAGATCATCCTCATCATCCTTTTCGGCGTGCTGGTGGTGTACGACGATGACACGGACTCACAGCTGTTTAACAAGCACCACAACACATCTCATGGACATTCAGACTATGAGAATGATTTCTACTACCGCTATCCAAGTAAGTGATCAAAGGGTCAGGGGTCAGGGTACTCTCACTCCTGGTTCCATTCAAAAAGCATTGCACTGAATTACAGAAGAGCAAAAATATAAAAACTAAAATGTCCAGACTGCTCTTATTTGTTGTTTAGTTTAGTTTTTTCTTCTTTTTTTTAGTTTTAATTCAAAAGCACTGCATTGTGAACAGCCTGGTCCTGTTATTTGTTGTGAAATTCTTCACAAAGATGTCTTCCTGTCCACTGCTGTCCTGTAGAGACAGATGCGTTGCTCTGCTGTTCTTCCAGAGCCTAGATAAGATGATCACAGTCTTGATCTTTCCCACTTTTATAAAAAAAAAAATACACAAAGTACGCAAATTAAAGAAGAGACAAAATTTAAAGTAGAAATAAGAATAATTCCAAAGTCTCAACCATATTCAGAATTTTAGCATTAAAACCCTGTTCTTGTGTGACATAAACTGTACACCTCGTCTTTAATGCATTTTTGCTTGGTAGTAAATTATAACGTAATGCAGTAATGTTATTTTTTTAGAACACAAGTTGGATGTTGCAGAAACTTTTACAATTTTAAAGTCGCCAAACCACTTCAGAGATCACTTATGTCCACCTTAAAGAAGCAAAATGACAAAGTGTTGGGCGCATGCTGGAGGCATCGCCCTCAGGTGAGGCTGTTTTTTTTTTCTCTTTTTTTGGCAGCACAAATAGAAACTTAGGGAGATGAAACTCTCTGAACTCATTTTGAATATTAATTGAAACTCCCTTCTGCTCGCTCTGCCCCCTTCCTGTCAGTCTGAAATGTGCACTTTTTACTTGTTCATGTGATGATGACACATCAAACGTGAATTTAAGAAGTCCTCTTAAAACAAATCACAGACTGTTCATTAAAATAATTCTAAAGATTCATGTTCAAACTGGGATATTTTCCTAACCCAGATGGTTTATTGGCTAATCTTGATTGGGAAACAATATTGCCTAATTCTACAAAATAAGGTGGGACAAATAAACATCAAGTTAAACCTTAAGTGAACTGTTGCTTTTGTTGGAAACGCCCTTTTATTGCACCACAGACTAAACGGTCTAATGTCTTATTGTGCATGGAGTCAAATGACAGTGAAAAACAATGTCTGGTCAAATATTTTAAGAAGAACCAATGGGAATCTAAATTGCATGCAAAAATACAACAAAATTTTAAAAAATAATTCATGTTTCAATCTCATTCTTGAGTCAAACCAAACTTTAAAAGCAACGCACCAAGACAACCTCCTCACAGAACCAAAGGTTCTTGTGGTTTTCTTTAAAAAGCGTCACCTAACTGACATTTTATGAACATCATAAACCATTGGGATACTAGTTTAGATTGTAAAATGTGATTTCACAGATTTTCTTCCCACCTGACACAACCAGCAGGACATTTTTCCACATCAGTTCTAAAATACTTTACCTTTAATTGCAACGTTGATCCTCGTCAAAATTCACCAACCCTTTAAAACTTGTTTCAGTCTTTTTTTTTCTCTGCTGTTTGTACATAAGAATGAAACATCCTCAGCTCCAACAACTGAAACTTTGATCACATCAGTGGCTACGTTCACACTGCAGGCAAATCCGACCCAAATCCGATTTTTTTGACCCATCTGACTCATATCCGATTTTTTTATGACAGTCTGAACGAGACAAATCCGATTTTTTCAAATCCGACCCAGGCCGTTTCAGTATGTGGTTTTAAATCAGATACATATCTGATGTTTTCAAAGTGACTGCAGTGTGAACGCTCATGTCACATTCATCTGACTTTTTCATCAGTGAGGAGGGGGTGAAGGATCGATAAGACACTAACCTCAAGTCTCGCTGTTTAAATCTGCAGCTCTGTGTGTTTACAGCTCCAAAACACAAGTCCAGTTGCTTCATCTTTTTACTTTTCATTTAGTAAGATAATAACGATGTCCAGCCTGGGTCGCGGAGAGTATCGATCCTAAAGTTAGCTACTCGGTTGATACTTTTTTCCAGCTCGTAGTTTCGTTAAAAAAAAAAAGCTTCACTGGAGCATCCCGGTCAGAGGCAGCTTCAGATATAAACACTGAACTAAAGAAGCAGGTCAGATAATTATTTAATCGGCTCTGATTAAACAACAACTTCHGATTCGAYGYGCAAAATGTAGCATCCATGCTAGCTCTGTAAACAAACAAGCCGGCTGATGAGACGTCACGTCTTTTACTGCGCATGCGTGTCACATCAGTGCTGTGGAGCGTTCACACAGGGGTCTGATACAGGTCACATTTAAAATGTAATGTGAACGTTCACACAAAAAGATCGGATTTTTTCAAAAAATCGGATCTGAGCATTAAGACCTGCAGTGTGAACGTAGCCAGTGCCTCAGCACATTGTTTATCTTTTGGGAAGCTGATGTCAGCATCTAACTAAAATCCCCGTGCTAAAGTTCAGTCTCATCCACAAAGTATCAGAACTACAAGGATTATCTTACCTTAGTTGCTTTTATTGATTGGTTTCTTTATGCATACAGTTCCCCGTTTAACCTGATCAACTAAAAGTTTAACCTTAAAGACAAAACAGGCTGATTAGCCTCTAAATGGAGCCAGTGTTCTGTTTCAACCCCACATTTCCACCCCAGCTAACTTCTACTTTGTGCAGACTCATTTGCACTGAGACACCTATAGGGCACAAAGTAAAACTCTTCGAAACTACTGAAGGTGACATGCTTTAAAAAAAAAAGGGTTAGCGAGTAAACGTCCGAGGCATTTTACTCTCCCAGACAATGTTTAATCTGACACCACTACTGTCACGGAAACTGAAACACAAGTTCACCTTCATGTCTCAGAAATCTGTATACACAACCTGCACCCAGTGTTCTCCTTGTTGCACGCTTGGAAAAAAAACCTGTACAGTAAACAGATCCAGACTTTTCACACTCTGCAATAAAGAAACGTTGGTAATAGAGTATTTGTACTGTACGTTTTGTTACTTCCAGGAAAAAAAAGTGGGTGGGGTTAGACTCCCTGAAATGTACCTCACAGTCTCTGCCTTGCACAACAGTGATGACAGAACGTCTGAGATTCTGCAGGCTGGATCCAGGAGACGCTCCTTTTAAGCTCCTGATGAACATTAACAATACAGACATTAATCCATTAAGATTATATTAATGTTTTCAAGTCAAAAATTTTCACAGGTATTATTCCATAAAAATCATTCGTTATATGTTGAATTTTAATGCCACACATAGATCTGTTTACCTCAGAAGAATTTTAAAAAATGAAGTAAAACATGTGTTTGAAATACTTTGTTAGTTAAAAAACACATCAGCCTCTTAAAATCTGGTGAGGTTTGGACTCTTCTTTCTACACAACAGAGCTCTTTATTGCACTGAAAGGCAGGTCTTCTCGGTGCCGCTGGGAACTGCCTGCATTTAGGTCAAAATGCCAACGGGGACACTGGACGTGCCAATTAACGGTTACCACGACAAAACCTCTCACAGCACAAAGAAAAATTATGTGTAGCAGTTTGGAACAAACTAATAAGCAGCGCTCACAAACTGTATGCGCCAAGAAGAAATCAGCAGCAGCTTGCATTAGAAATGAACCATTTCCTGTCCTTTCATGCTGTTTAACATTAGTTTGAAGTTAAGTTTCCAAGTATTAAAGCCTATAATGTAAAAAAAGCAACCTATCACCTATGAGTCATTCTGCACAGGTCTGGAGTCACAGCTTAAACTAGTTTTCCAGTTTACTCGATGTTTATTCAACTGCACGCTCGAGGCACTTCTGTTTTTAGTGACAGAGCGGTCTGATCCGTGGCAGCTTTCTGTTGATGGAGGCTGCGGACGCTGACGTTTACCTGCCGAGGTTTCCATCATCCATCCATCCATCCATTTTCTGTACACACTTCTTCTTTTCAGGGTCGCGTGGATAACGGTGCTCATATCCAGCAGTCACAGTACGAGGGGCGGGGTACACCCTGGACAGGTCGCAAGTCCATCACAGGGTCACTCAAAGAGACAAACGAGACAAACAACCATTCACTCTCACTCACACCTAGAGACAATTTAGAGTTATCAATTAACCTAACAGTCATGTTTTTGGTCTGTGGGAGGAAGCCGGAGTACCCGGAGAAAACCCACGCATGCACGAAGAGAACATGCAAACTCTACCCAGAAAGGTCCCGAGGTTTCCCCATCGACAAAATACACCCAACCTTAAGACTGCTAGAACTGTTTCTTTTTTTAAAAGATTCATTTAAAAAATAAAATAAGTGAGACTAAGAATATTTCGTTTTAATTTTTACTACTTAATAATTTGTTTATTTTGTTTTATTAATGGAACGCTTTGTTTTTCATCACTTCCTCAATCCATTTTTGGTGTCATTTTGTAATTCCAATACTGAGCTCATGATGACACAGTCCCTCTCACAACCTGAATAGAAGAAACACTCTGCACTTATTTTGATCAGCTCACTAATATTACATCTTGATGAAGAAGAATAAAAAATTAAAGCTCAGTTTCTAAGCAGATCAATAACAAAAAGGGCAACAAAAAGAAGTTTGTGTCTTCAGAGCATCTAACCAGCCAGAGTTCTGATGAACTTCACCATCATCACGATGTTTTCTGCACCGTGCAGGCTTCCAGGATGTGCACGTCATGATCTTCATCGGCTTCGGCTTCCTCATGACCTTCCTGCAGCGCTACGGCTTCAGCAGCGTGGGCTTCAACTTCCTGGTGGCCGCCTTCTCCCTGCAGTGGGCCACTCTCATGCAGGGCTTCTTCCACGGCCTGCATCATGGCAAGATCCACATTGGGGTGGAGAGGTGTGTGTGTGGGATGAACGCAAACATGTAAAATGCTATTATCAAACGCTATAATTATTATTCTTATTATTAATTTCAGTATGATCAATGCTGATTTCTGCACCGGCTCTGTGCTGATCTCGTTTGGAGCAGTTCTGGGCAAAACCAGCCCTGTCCAGCTGCTGGTCATGGCAGTATTTGAGGTCACGTTGTTTGCTGTCAATGAGTTCATCTTGCTGACCCTTCTGGGAGTGAGTATCCATGTGATTTGGATTCGTTGAAAGTGAAAAATAACAATAATGGCACTACTTTTGATGCTCTGCTTAAAATTCTGTATATAAATCTGCCAGACTGGGATTTAGTTTTCTAAAAATGTCCTAGAACACTAAACTACAACTGTCCTGAACACTAACTTTGTTTCAGACCAGAGATGCTGGAGGCTCCATGACCATCCACACATTTGGAGCCTACTTCGGCCTGATGGTGACTCGGATCTTGTACCGGCCCAACCTGGACAAGAGCAAGCACAAGAACTGCTCCGTCTACCACTCTGACCTGTTCGCCATGATCGGTAATCATCCCTCAAAGCTGGAGAGTTCTCAGAACTGTTTACTTAGCTCGCTGCGCCCTGCCAAGAAGTTGTTACAACGTGTTCTGAAGACATGAGCTGTCTGCTGTTCCAAAAATCAACCAGTAGTAGCTACTGAACAATCTTATACCTAATATACTTCATCCAACATAAAACACTCAAACTAGAGGCGAGCTGTGTTAAAAGGCTGCTGGGTAGATGTTTAGAAAGTTTTGAAGTGAACTTTAACTGCTGATATGCTTCTAAACCACTATATACATTTATATAAAACACACAGGTACCATCTACCTGTGGATGTTCTGGCCCAGCTTCAACTCTGCCGTCACAGAACATGGAGACGCCCAGCACCGGACGGCCATGAACACCTACTACTCCCTGGCAGCCTGCACCCTTTCAACTTATGGCATGTCTGCCCTCACAGCTCACGACGGCAAACTGGACATGGTGAGCAGGACTTGGGACTACTATTTTTCTTTTTTTTTTTTTTGTATTTTTTATTTTTATTGAACCCACCACATTACAAATGAAATTTCAGCAAATAAAATTAAAGGGGCAATTTTATGTGTTTCTCAGGCATACATTTAAATACTATACCATAATATATTATCTATGCCACATTTAGTTGTTATTAAAATGCTGTTTTAGTGTTTAAATAGAAAATAAATTTATCTTCTCATCACTTCCTCTTCTAAACGTCTTGAAATTGGCCTCTGTCTCTTTAAGAACCACCTTCCGCTTCTGTCCCATTCATTTCAGTGCATGCACCATGATGCAGTTTACTTGGCATCTAAAAATACATTTCCTCAAAGGTATTTTTAATCTGAAAATTGCTTCACTCAGTGAGCAGTAGTGTTAAGAGCAGCAGACAGTTTAAGTTTCACTTTCACTCGTTTGCTTCGCTGCCGAGAGCCTGCAGGAGTCATGGGTGGGAGGTGTGCTCCGTGATGAGGAAATTCGGCTTAAAGACACGTCCCAGAAGCGTTTCTGGTACCAAAAGGTGTTTCTGGTCCCCACCTGTCGTTTTGCTCCTCAGCATGGCTTCCTAAAAACACTGCAGGATTTCTCAAACATGCATGAATGAGTCAAAGCAAGACTTTGGGCATGTTTTTTTATGAGAGTATCACTTATAACATGATATGAAACTCAAAAAAGTTGATTTTACATGATATTGCCCCTTTTTTCAATTTAGTTTTTGTTCTTAAGATAAATCAAGACGATTAAAAAAWMAATAAATAAATAAATAAATAAATAAATAAATAAATAAATAAATAAATAAATAAATAAATAAATAAATAAATAAGCCAGAGAATTTTTGTTTTTAGGATATACTGTACATGTACGGTATATAAGAAATTTCAGTGGGGTGTGGAGGGTGTTTTAGCACCCCCTAACGGATACCAGAGGACATGCAGATCCAAACACATTGGTAAAAAGCACATTTGAAAAATGAATAAAAACAGATTAAATTAGTTCTTCATATGTTTATATTTTAAGAACAATTTGATATGAATGATTTTGTGAATCTGACTATTCTTATTTATTTGTGTGCACATTTTAGCTGCTAGTGGTCTGATTAGCTTGAGGTCATTTTAGCAATTTTATAACTATAATAGCATAATTTATTGTTCAGCATGCACTAGGACAATCTTTACTTCATTGAAAAAAAGAGCTGTTATAGTTTCCCTTCAGGGCAGGTTGCTGCAGCGTGTGTGGTGTGCACTCAGGTTTATTACACACACGTGAGTGAAGGTGCTTTCATTCTTGTGGTCACCTCATATTGCTTAAGTTCATCCACTTCCTCACTGCTTTAAACCTATCTAATATCTGCTTAACCGCCATAAATGAAAGCTTGTACCAGGTTGCACCAGCACGTCTCCCTGCAGGAGCCAGCCTCTGCAGGTGCCCGGTGAACTATCAGCAGAAATTGTGCCGTCGGAGCAATAAAATGCTGTTATTTAGCAGAAGAGGGAGGAGTGGAACAGACAAATGGGACACCACAAGATCTAAAACTGTTGATTAAAAGGGGTGAATCCGATTGATAAGACACAAATATTATGAATCATAATGAACGCCTTAGTTCCTCTTTACGTTTTCAGTGGTTTCAGTTTAGTTCAGGAGGAACTGATGACAGTTTACATTTACATTACAAGACAAATTATAAGGTTGCCTCTGTTTATATCTGTTTGTTTCCCCCCTATTGTGTCCTGACACGACTGAATTCTGTTTGTCTTTAACTCACAACGGATGAGGCGTTTGTTTGATGCTTAAATAAAATCAGGATTTCAGCACAACTCCAAGGTCACAGCTCTTTGAAAGTGACCTCTAATAAAACCAATAATAGTGGTCGTAGATCCTCTGTCTGTGGCTCATAAAGACGAGAGTTTATCTGCCAATCTGAGGATTCATGATTTAACCCTGGCTTCACCTGTCCTGTGTCAAAGTGTCCTGAGACAAGATGGCGAACTCCTGCTCGGCCCTGATCTGGGTTGTGTTGAGTGTGTGTGCATGAGTGAGCATGACTTGTTGTGTAAAACACTTCAAGTGGCCAGAAAAAATAAAAAAGTGCTATTTACTGTAAATTTCTCAATAATGAGCCACATTCATTTGTTGTTTTCTGAAGAAATAATCTGCAATAGGTGTAAAATGCAATAATGCTCTAATGTATTTGTTTAAATCTGTTTGCCAGAAACAGTGGTGGGCACAGTTCCCCTAAAGCACTAAAGCACTAAAAGGGAAACAAATTTCCTGATTAGTGCTTTAGGGCTTTTGCTATTTTTAAAATTTTTTAGTGAATTAGCATTCCCTAAATTTGTGAGCTAAATTTAGAAGCTAACTGAGGTCTTTCAAATGTTATTGATCAATTTTATCGTTCACAGCTGAGGGTGACAGCTGTCACACTTTTTGTTCATGCATTCACTTTTACACTAGGTGACATATTGACATTGATTATTCTGCACAGTAAATATTGTCTCATCTCTGAAGAATGCTCCACGGGTCAACTGGGTTATATTAGTGCTTTAGAATTAGGGGACCTAAATATTTGAGTAAGTTGCAGTGGTCACTTAGGGGTGGAATGAGCCGTTGCACCTGTATTTGACCCTCAGCTCAGAAGACCTCCTTCAAAAGAGACATTTTATTTTATTTTATCTTATTTTATTTTATCAAGATAATAAACAAAATAATAATGTTCTTTATATTTTTAATTTATATTTTATTTTTAACTAAAAGTTATTATCATTTTATAAATCAAGATTACATAACTAAATGAATGACAAGCTATTTTCTTGCATTATAATTAAGAAAAACAACAAAAAAACACACAAAAATTATAATTTTTCCAATGTTACTTTATTTGTTTTATACAAATCTTTGTTTAATCAACTGTTATTTGACTATAAGGTGATTATGTATTTTTTCTGTTTTATTTTTCAATTTAACTAAATAATAAATATGGTTTAGTTGTTAGTGCTTATAGGGTTGGTGCATCTAATGTTTAGAATAGTGCAACAGTACCCACCACTGGTCATAAATATTTTGTCCTTTCAACATTTAGTTATTTTATCTTTGCATTATTTTGCCACTGGGCAAAAACCTCTTTTTATTTACCTTTATTGGACAGGTAGTCTCATTGAGAGAGACCTGTAACACAAACACATAACATCAAATACACAAATTATTGTTATAAACATGATGTTGACATTTAAAGGACTTAATCTAAAAACAAGAACAAGTTTTAAATTAGGATTTTTCAATTTTCTTTATTTATTTACCGTTGTTTAACCAGGCAAATCCCATTAAGATCACAGATCAAGAGAGGCCAGGGCCTGAAGGTAACTTACTGTACATGTTTGTGGAGGTGGGGGAAACCGGAGTACACAGAGAAAACCCACGCAAGCACGAGGAGAACATGCAAACTCCACTGACCCCAGTTCCAAACCGGGGATCGAACCCAGGACCTGTGAGGCGTCGGTGCTAACCACTGAGCCATTGTGCTGCCAGCTGAAAGGAACTGAAAATGTCCCAGTGGGATCAAACTGGACAGTTTCAGTTCTTGCTGCAGTGAATTTCAGAAAGATGGAGCAGAATAGGAGAAAACTGCAGGTTCTACATGAACCAAGGGGAGATTGAAAGAAATAAAATCCTGGGAGCTTAAATTATAACTGTACCAGCTTTGTGACGTCTTGGAATGCAGACAGGAGGCAGCAGACACCTCACACTTATTTTAGTGTTTCAGTCGTTTAGACACTTTGTACATGTGTTCACTTTTAAAAGAAAACAAAGCAAGTGAGGCTAAGTGATGTTAATTCAACAATAATCAGAAATAATCGTATTAGCAGTGCAGTGAGCAGCAACCAGAGAAATATTCATGTAAAAAGATGCTGAGGCCTCAGACTCTGTCTCTGTTACAGGTCCACATTCAAAACGCTGCCCTGGCCGGTGGAGTCGCTGCAGGAACAGCTGGTGAAATGATGCTGACGCCTTTCGGCTCCATGATTGTTGGATTCTTGGCCGGCATCATCTCTGTGCTGGGCTACAAATACCTCTCAGTAAGAACGATTCGATTTTTTTTGTGCCCATAAATGTTATTATACTAAACTTTAAAGACATCTGTCTAAAAATCATGTTGATTTTAAATGCTGATTGAGTTGTGTTAAATATTTAAAGGCAAATATTTAACCAGCCGTGTTGCATCTTGTCCTTCCCCTCGGTTAGCCCGTCCTGGAGAGCAAACTGCGGATTCAGGACACCTGTGGTGTTCACAACCTGCACGGGATGCCCGGGGTCCTGGGGGCCATTGTTGGGGCCGTCACTGCTACTGTGGCATCCAAAGAAGTATACGGACACGGGTAAACAAGTCGCCTAATGCAACAAGTTATTTTGCAAGTTTAATCTATAGACCCAACAATTATTATTGCTCGATGTGAGATAAAAACTGCACAGACTGGAAGATGTTTGTTCGATGTAACCTGGTTTTAAACACTTGATATTTTCATGTTTTTTAAATGCATTTTAAATCAAACACAGTCCTGCTTTGAAATATTATTTTCCAGTATGTGCTAACTTTATTACTTTTTTTTTCTTTGTGTGTCTTTAAGAATGGAAAGGGTGTTTCCTGATGTGGCAAACGGAAGCAGAGATGCGTATTTCCAGGGAGGTGTACAAGCACTTTCCCTTGCTATCACCCTGGGCATGGCCATATTTGGTGGGCTTGCTGTTGGTATGTGTTACGAAGCCCTCCTTTTGATATGAACAAGCTTATATTTACTTTAATATTTAATTTAGAAAAGAAGAATATAACACCTGGACACTTCTGATAAAACCATGGTGCAAATACCCGTTTAAGTTCACTAAACCAGTAAACCTGTTTGATGCTTGGCATTAACTGACATGAACATAAATTACTGACTTTGATATAAAATGTCTTTATTTAATGTTTAGTACAACTTAACACAGATCACATTAGTTCTCAGGCTGGAATGAATAAAAAAATAAATATGCCTGAAACTTTGAGCCATGAGACATTTTTTATGCAACTTAGCAGAAATTGAGAACAGATTAGGTTCATGTGAATAATCTGTTTCCATTGTAACTTTGATCACATCAAATGGGATAACTATATGCATTCACAAATCATATGATATTTTAACAACCTGATCAAAACTAAAATATTGAATACAATGAAATAGAAATAACATTTATTGTCCCTTAGTGGGAAAGTTCAGGTAAAACTGACCACTGCTGCTTTGTGTTCAGGGTTTATTTTGAAGCTGCCCATGTTCGGTGCTCCTGCTGACAACGCCTGCTTTGAGGACAGCATCTACTGGGAGGTGAGTACAACAACGACACACAACGGGGATAGAAATAAGCTCAGCAGAATACATGCACGTTCCCACTGACATGCCTATAATAGGGTTTTCATTTGAGTTAACTGGGTTCTTATTTACCCAATAGCATGAGTATTTTTAAAAAGGTATTTGGAAATTTTGTATTTTTAAACAAAATGATTCAAACTGCCGTCTTGTAGCATTATGCTGGAGTTACTTAAAGAATCAACAAACTTTGGTTACGAAAAATAAACTTTACACTCCTAGCTGCAGAGAAAGATTTTGTAGATACAAGAAAGAAAGAAAAACTAATTGAAACATTTTTTTCCATCTAATTTTTCTAAATCAGATAATTCTGGTGGTTTTAAAGGAGAAGTTATTAATGCCACAACCATAAGATGGTGCTGTTGCACCAGCAGATAATAGTTACATCAATGCATCTATTTGTCTGACCATAATGATGTCTGACCACCAGGGGTCGCAAATTTACCATCCTGACAGGAAAAGTGGATTTCCCATCAGTATGTTGTGCATCATGGTTGATGTTTATGCATTGTGGGGTTTTGAGATCACATAATCAAGATTTGGTTTACATAAGAGCAAACTTATCTTTTTTTTTGCTATTTCCTCAATTTAAAACTGTCAGACGAAACTCATCTTTGATTGTTTAATTCTGAGTACTTAGATTTTTCTGTTTTAAAAAAAATTAAGGTGAGAAAAGCTCCTGAAATTTATTAAGAATTATTACAATAGGTTCTACTTTGTGGTGACATTCGTCTGTTTTGTTTATGTTTAATTTAACTTACCTAATTGATGCCAATATTTTAAGTAAATAAACTCAAACTGTAATCCACCTCTATAAAGGAGGGGAAATGAAAATAAAATGCAATATTTTGCAACATTTAAAGTGTTTGAAAAATGAGAGAATAAAACTGATGATCACGTTGTTTTTTTGCCTCAGGTGCCGGGGGAAGAGGAGGCCGGTCATGAGGAGCAGATGACCGCTGTGAGGACAGAGGAATCAGAGAAGCTGAGCGCCTAATCTTTCAGACAGGAAACCAGGATCCCATCAGAGAAACACTCTGAGGCTGAAAGCAGCACTTGAAAGCCAGAAGGCTCAAATATATTAAAATGTATCCACACACTGTCCTCATGCCAGCTGCCAAACTGTGTGTTTTACATGTAAAAATATATTTTTACACGGCTAAATAAGAAATATCAGCTTTTACTGGTTATTGAATATCACAGGAGGCCATTAGAGTCGTTTTATGTTACACAACTGTGAAACAGCTGCACTGACGAAACTTGGTTCTATTTACTGAAAAATGGCTTCTGTACTAATAAAGTATGATGTTGTACAAAACTTCAAACCAAAGATGAACATTTAAAGCCAGAAAACTGCATTCAGTAAAATATCTTAAACGTGTTCTTTAAGTCAACATGTTGTTTTAGGATTTCATGTTAATCAGTTTCTTGCAGGAATTAGTTTTGAATATAAACCATGGCAATAAGATAACTACAATTTATCTTTCTAAACAACAAATGTTTAGTTAGATTAGAAAAGCAGTTTTTGTTCAGTTATTCACATTTTATGACACAAACTGGCACAAATCAAGTACACGATTGTATTTACTTGATTTGTGAAGTCAGACATATTTGGAAACACAGTTTTGGTTTATTTGTGACGTAAAATAAAGTCTTCAAATCTGATATTGTCTCTTTTAATGTTTAACATCAATAATAAAGTGGACCAAACACCGAAGGACAAATTAAACCCATTGTGGCTTGTAGAGTTTTGCTGTGCTTAAAGGGGTAGTCTGGTCATTTATAGAAGTGATACGTTGTCTAATAGTATTCAAAAGTTAGTTGTGATAGCAAAAGTTTTCAAACTTTTTGGGTCTAGGGACCCCTTACAAATGTGAAAAAATTCAGGGACCCCCTCATAAACCCCATGCTGTTAATTCAAAAATAATTTACGGTTATTTTAACCCCTAAATGCCATGGTAATATAATTTTTTTTTGATTTAACATGTTTGTTTTACTAGTTCATTATCCCCCATATGCATTTTTAAAAATAAAACCAAATTAACAATTTGTTTAAATTTTTCGAGGACCGCCAAGACACCGCTCGCGGACCCCTGGGGGTCTTGGGACCCCAGTTTGAGAACCTCTGAGTTCGAGAACACAAAGTATGGAGAAAGGAGCAACACTTTTTGTTTTATTAAATGAGTAATAACTGCTGGATTCATTTGATAATACAAACAAATACATTTTAAAAGACAACAAACATTTCATAAGAATAAACTTTTTTCTATTTGTTCATGCCACTCTCAGCTACATGATGAGCTGAACGACAGAAAACTGATTTGCTCTTTTTAATTCTTGTCGAAAATGGCCCCTATGTCCACTAGAGGGCGCTATTATCAAAATAGAAACATCTAGTTCATCATCCAGGAGCCTCTTCAGAAGCAACTTCCTAATTGTAACTTTAGATATCATTTAACTGTTGTTGCAGCAACACTTTGGGTTGCCTTTTCAAAGGGTGGACTAATTAATCAGGCTGAGGAGGTACAACTTTTTTTATTTTTTAAAACAGTTTGTTTTAATTATCCTGAACCATTTATTTCAGTGTTTCGTATAAAAGTTTAAGTTTTAATGATTATGCTATTTGCATAACTTGATGAGATGCCTGCAACTGTGCAGAATTATTACCACATTTACACAGAGGGCCCCTTTGCAGGATGCATGAGTCTGAACACACACACACACACACACACACACACACACACACACACACACACACACACACTCACACACACACATATATGCACGTTCACTGGCTCGCTCACACAGTTTGGTGATGGTGCCGTGGCGTGAACAATCACTGCAGCCTTTTCCCAGGAACCAAAAGACAGGTGGACAGCTGTTTACTGAATAGGCGCTCGCACTGAAGAGCTTAATTGAGCTTCATACGGCTAATTAAAATGCAGAGAAAAATAATCGTGATTATGGTAATTATTCTATTGTCCATAATGTCTTCGTGAGATGCACTTGTTTGGCATCATACCTGCAATATTTTGAAGACAATGAAAGGAAAAAGTAAAAAAAAAATCACGTCTGGTTGTTAAAGATGCCAAGGCCATCATTATATGGCAAAAAAAAAAAAATCATGGTAATTGTTTGAGTTTTGTAGCTGAAAATAAACACTTTGATGAGCTGGTTTATTCACTATTATAACATCTAATTACAAAACTTTTTTTTCAGTATAATTTGATTTGTGGTTAACGAAGTCCTCGCTTTGATTGACACGACCGTAAAACGAAGAAACAGAAAGAGAAAGGGCACAGTTGAAATACTTTATTTTCAGGTGAAAACGATTAACTTGAGTACATTCATAATGACAATTATCCACATTAATTTTGAAATTTAGATATTTCAATCAGGGCATCGTATCATGTGACACCAAACATACCACATACTTAAAATCGAACATTGTTCAAAAAAACATCTCATCTGGAAAAAACAAGATCATTTTTCATTTTTTCTAAATCCCACGTCAGGTTTTAATCTGACACGTTTTCTTGCCCTTGACCCCATCACTGTATTTCTCTAGATGTGGGATTTGCTGCTGATCGGCCCCTCCAGCTACACGGAGTTGTCCCAGGCAGCTGTAAGCCTCCTGTGGCTCAAGCCTCCAGCTATAGCATGCGATTGTTGTCCTTAACGCCGTTCTGGAGGTGAACATAATAGATTAATAGGCTCCCTCAGGACGCCCAGGTCCCCTGTGGGAACCCTCAGCCTGCTTACAGCCCTGCAGAAATCATAATAGGCCAAAGCTGAAATCACTATGTCAAATCTGACATCCCTGTCAGGCACCAACACACTAAAATACATATGATTTATTCAAGACATGTAACCATTTCTTTACACTCATTTAAAAGAAATACTACAGCTCGAGTTACAACAAAATCACTAAAAGAAACAACAACATATAATCACAACAGTTGCTCGGTGATTGCGTAATTAGTCGGTGTGCTCGTGCTTTTTTTTTCTTTCTTGTTAAGATCCTTTACAGCATACAGATTTGTGCAGTTAATTGCTCTCAGAGTACAAACATCAGCACTTTGTAGAAGCATCTGGGACTTGGCACTCAGAGTTAATTTAACACTTGTTATTATTTTTGAACAGTCATCTTTAAAGCTCCATCAGCTCTCCAATCAACTCCTGTCAGCTCTAAGTAATCATCACGGAGTAAGGTGAAATCATTAGAGCAGCACCGTGTAAAGGAAAAAAAACAAGAAGAATATAAACGTGTTTGACTCAAACAAAACCTAAAATTTTGGTGTGATTTTTATTTATTTATTTTTTTAGTTCCAGCTTATATTCCTGAACAAAGCGGTTGTTGTCGCCCCTCTTGCCACTTTTCCAAAGGGAGCGGAGACGTGCTGCGAGGTTGTGACTGATGCCAGATCAGAAGGGGGGGGATGATGGAGCCGGGGTGTCAGTGGGAGTGCTTACTAAATGCAGGAAGTTGTTCAGCTGAAGAGGGTTTCAGCCACTTGACTGAGGGGAAATTGCCTTCAGTGCTCCAGGAGTACATGGGAGTGCTTCACTTGAATTTCCTCCCCGGAAAATGGCTCGGTGAATGCCAAATCAACAAAAGTAGAGGCTGCGGTGCGTTTGGGACCTCACAGCTCTTTTATAGCTCACCTGTGGTCAGCAAATCCAGCGTGTGAAAGCGCCGTTTGGTATGACTGGAATCCAGCATGACCTAACCCTCGTTGAAGCATTAACCATCACATGATGAACTGACAACCCGCTGAGAAAGACCAATATACTGTTATGTTACTCACCTGTGTTCCCAAAAATAATTTTTTGTGTGCTCCTGGGCCTCCTTCCTGGATTCACCAACTTCTGCAATCGTCTTCATCATTTCTCTGAAAAAGAAATAAAAAAAAAGATCAGAGAATTCTGGTCAACCACTCTGCCTGTCACCTGCCTGTCGCCACACCTATAAGACTGATGTTCACATGTCCGAATGTGGGAACACTGCCTCCCTGCATGGCCTGGAAAAAGGCAAACATAAAACAACCTTCCTGAATATCTCCCATTCGTGTAAATCAAAAACAAACTCCTGTGCCCTCTTCTCCTGAAAGCTCTGTTTACTCTTTTACAGTTTTTTCAAAGTAAAACAATCTCATTTTTATCAATGTCTGTTGTGGTGGTTTTTTACTTCACCTGAACTCTGGGCTAAAACCCTTCAAACAATGACAAACCGTAGGTTTTAAAGGGGGCAACATTATGTTTCTCAGGCTTATATTTAAATACTATACCATAATAAAGTATCTATGTCACCTTTAGCTGTTATTAAAATGCTGTTTTTATGTTTAAATATAAAATAAACTTATCTTGTCATCACTTCCTCTTCTAAACACCTTGAAATTGGCCTCTGTCTCTGAACCACCTTCCGCTTCCGTTTAGCCTATTGCATGATGCAGTTTACTTGGCATCTGAAAATACATTTCCTCAAAGATATTTTTAATCTGAAAAGAGCTTCACTGAGTGAGAACTAATGTTGCGAGCTCAGCAGACTGTTAGGTTTCACTTTCACTTTCACCTGAGAGCCTGCAGGAGTCATGAGCGGGGTGTGTGGGGTGGGGGGACGGGGTGCGCTCTGCCATGAGGAAGTTTGGCTTAAAGACACGTCCCAGGGGCGTTTCTGGTACCAAAAGGCATTTCTGGTCCCCACCTGTCGTTTTGCTCCTCAGCATCACTTCCTAAAAACACTGCAGGATTTCTCAAAAATTCATAAATGAGTCAAAGCAAGGCTTTGGGCGTGTTTTTTTAGGAGAGTATAACATTATAACACGATATAAAACTCTAAAAAGTGGATTTTACATGATATTGCCCCTTTAAAGTCTACTTTAGCTGACTAAGCAAACCCAAATTTTAGGTCCTTAAATGAAACAAAGGAGCTTTGGAAATCTAAGATCTTAAAGAATCAAATTCATCCACTGCCTGAATGACCATTGTGACAGGAAAGGATCACATTTAAGGCAGAATGGGGTGGCCTCTAATCCCAGAGTTCCTGCGAGGTCCCCTGGCGGAGCACCCCGCGCACTAACAAGGCCTCCCACTGGACTCATTACAAGAGGAAAGACCAACAAAGGCAGTTATTACACACTCCTTATGAAAGACACCAGGGGTGCGGGGGGCCAAGCTGGACACCGCCGGGACAAAAGAGCACTGACGACCCCGCCACCACCACCACCATCACCCGTTGACCCCCCCACCTTCCCCCTGACTGCCCCCACGTCCACCACACGCATGCCTCTGGGCTGCAGAG